TCTCTCTCTCTCTGTCTCTCTCTGTGTGTGTGTGTATGTGTGTGTGTTTGTGTGTGTGTGTTTGTGTGTGGTTGTGTGATTGGTCATATGGTGGCAGGTACTCTTTTGTGCTTTGAACCTTCTTTCTTTTCAAACACCCATTGTCCTAATGTCACCCCCTTCTTATTTATTTAAAATACACCCTAGTAACATATTTATTCTTCGGCACATACATAACCTACTTGTGCAGCAAGTACTGTAAAACTCCCACTAAAACAAAATTCGTAAAAATATTGCTACACTAACAGAAACAAATTGATAAATAAATGCTAAAGAGGGTCCTTCCAGAAGAATGTTCAGCAACTCTAGCGTTCAACAAAGTCCAAATGTGGGCACTCTCCATTAAATAACCAGAGTAGAAAATGCCTATCTCTTGTCAGTATCATTATATACCTGCAAAGAAGACGCCGGAGGATAATCCTATTTGTACTGGGTAAATGCCCCAAGTAAACAAAGAAACGGGGAGGCTGGTATTGAGCGAAAGGCCTGGAAACACAGAGTGACAAAGCAAGGGAAAAAGTGGGACGATAGGGTAGGAAAAAGGAAACAGGGAATTAAAAATAATACCGGGATGATTGAAATCCACGACTGAAGAGCATGAGTAAAGAGTGTTAAGATAGATGTGTACAAACGGGGGAGGGGGGCTCAGAAAAAAAGGACAGGAAAAAAAAGCTTGAAAAGTGTGAGGATGAAAAGAGTTAAGGTATTATTCCCCACAGGAAATTGCTGATTGCGAGCTCCTTCTTTAGCCTTGATGCCAGGGAAAATTCAGGAGACGTAACCCCATTACTGGGAGCTCCCCACCACGCTTGTCTCCCTTGAAAAAGCTCGGATGTGACCGAAGGAAGGGAGAGAATCAAAGATCGATAGCAAATATCCTTTCCATCCTGATCTTCTTCTCTCAACAGCCGGCTCTCGTGCCCTATGCTTGCTCCCTTCCTTCTCCGTAATTTTGACTTAAACTTCTACGATCTTGAGTATCGAGTGCTGCTGGCCCGACTGGGCTGTTGGGGCGGGTAGTGTCAATAATGTGCTGCAAGCTGACTGTTCAATGTCTGGATACTCAAGCTTCTCGCTGCTATCTCTTCGCAAAATCCCTGATTGCAAAATCAGATTTTGAAACACCGTTTCGGACTGTTTGAGATCTCCAGAAGGCTAGAAATTTAGTCTCACAATGATGGTTTAAAACAGTTCTAGGTTAATTTACGTATTGAGTAAGAACGTTTTTGCGTCCCCATTGGCATGATTTAGATTGTTTTAGAGGCAGATTTGTTCTTGAAATCAATCTACTAAAGGTTAATGTTGCAATTTAAGATAAAAAGTTTCTTTGTTCAAATTGTAGATTTTTAGTTTGACCCAAAAGTGGAATGATTCAACAATGATCTGACAAAGAAGGGATGATCAAAAGTCGCTGCTTTGATGTTTTTTGGTTGCCACCCAGAGACACACAGAAAGGGGTGGGACTTTTTTCTATCAAATTTCTAGTATCTTCTTTGAAATTAGTGTATAATGTATGAAAAATACGATACGAGGCTTCACGAATAAAAAATTCAGTAGCAGAGAGACAAGCCACACCCTGTGCATACATGTATGTGGAAATGAGGCTTTTAAATGCTCAAAATGTGGTAATTTGTTCTCTGTGAGAATATGTCTAATTGAATATAGCAAAATCCACACGTCGTTTCAATCTTGAAATCTTTTTCTTCACAAGAGAAAACCTCTCCTCTCCGGATGCATTGTTTACCTTCAGACATTGACAGACGAGAATTGTTATCCTCATCATTATTATTATTATTGTTATTATTATTATTATTATTATTATTATTATTATTATTATTATTATTATTATTATTATTATTATTATTATTATACCATTATTATCGTTATTATTAGTAGTATTAATGTTATAATTATTACTGATAGTCTTATTATCAAAAGAGGGGTGTGGAAGAATTCTGATTTTATTTCTGCTCTGAGAAGACCCCTTGCTGTGACTGTGTTTACGTGTTTGTTCCAGGGCGCTCCAATGTTTACGTGGCCCACAGAACCATGCACGCCTTCATTTTCGTATATCGCGTTTCCTTACCGATTTCGTGTCTGTCTCAAGGACCGTACCCATCAATAATAATCTTCTGGCTGCAAAGCTAGAGCAGATGTTCGGTTAGACAAAGGTTATCTTAGTGACTGTGATAGAACGAAATGGCTCTTGAAAGGACAGTCAAAATTCCCCCCAGGTTGATGGAGAAAGACACAATGTTATGTGATCAGGAAATAATCTTAATTGTCTCAAATTATTTATTTGGGTCACTGAGTTTGAAAGATACCCAGAACAAACCTTAATTTAGCCTGTTTTATGTTACATTTAGGCAAATACAGCCCCCAAGTCAAATTTACGTGTATTTAACAATTACCCATAGGGAAGAAGGCGTGTACAACTGAACATCTGTACAGTGAATGCCATAGAGGTACCAAAGTTCCACCAAAAAGAAAGAAAAAGATCTATTCTGTGTTTGATCGTTCTTACGAGAAGTACCTTGTTAAAACATGCATTCCCATTCTTAGAAAGCGATCAAATAGGAATGTCATTTGGTTGACGTATGCAGAAGTAGGAATATATTACAACTGGGTTTTTTTCAGTATAATTGTTCATATTCTGTGTTTAAAATTCTTTTTTTTTTTTAAGGCCCAGTTTCATTTTTTTCTTTACAGGGATATAGAAAATATACCCTAGACTCTCAATATAGACAACCAGTAGACTTACAAATATAATCATAGTTATATTTGTCCTTAAAAATATAAACACCTCTTCGAAATTAAACACGGTGGTTGAGAAAATTGACGATTCCAAGCGAAATATTGTGTCTGGGCCCCAGAGTGATCGATATTGAATAAGGAAGTGATGCAGCTAAATGTACTGCAA